GAGAGAGAGAGAGAGAATGGTGAAACTTACCTGAACCACTCCAGCGAAACTCTTGCTCCAGCCATGAGTCATCGACAAAGGAACAATCACAACTGACATCACAACTCTATCAGCATTGCACAGAGCTAGAGCTAATCCAAGCATGGCCACTACCTTCACCCTCTCCGAAGTGATGAACTCCAAAGCACTCGAACCCTGCAAACCACCACTAGAAACCCTAGATTCCTCCGCAAATGAGGAAGATCCATTGCCGGAATCAGGAAGCTCGCTGTACCCTGTAATGGAGAATCGCCGGAATTTATTGCCAGCATTTGGAGGGAAAATTTTCCGGCGACTCCGCAGATGATGGCCTCTGAAGATTTCTGGACTCCAGAGACAAGAATGGCTAAGAAGTTGATGGTTTCTATGGCCCAAATTTGAGGAATTTGCAGGAGAAGAAGCTAGGGTTTTACGAGAGAGAATTAGGGTTTGATGATTCACGGGGAGAAGAAGGTTCATCGTCTTCGGCGAGAAGTAAAAATAGAAAGGGAACATTCAGGGAAAACTGAAGTAAAGAGGGGGCGGGAATTTACTGGCTTTGCGCTAATTTTCACTGGATACTTATATCCAAAAGATATTATGCTCCCGCGTGAGAATGGTGTACATTTACCCCCACGGGGAAAACTCCCACTAGGATTAATTTTAGGATCCCAAATTTTGGGATGTAATATCTTCATTCCGTAGATTAAACTTCGTAAAAGTAATTTTTTAATTGAACCCTCCGTGTGCTTGAAAATATAATATCTCATAATTGAAATAGACCATCTAATTTTTAGAAATACAGATCTAAGTGTTATGAAATTTAAATTTTAAATTTTTTACTGTCAAAATAATCATCTAGTATACTTAAGTAGTTCTCAAAATTTCATATTAAAAATACCTTCATAAATAGATCTTCTAACCAAGGGAGCAGATGTACACTATAAGTCCACACAGGAGTGTATCAAAGTTCAATTTCAAAGGTTCAATGTCGGTATTATAGTCTATTCTCCCACGAGTGCATACTGTTTATTCACTCCTTCAGGTAAAACCCAATGCAAAAGCAACTCTAGGACTCGAAAAATTGGATAGAAAAAGTAGAACCCCCACTTCCATCCTACCTCAAAATAAACTACTGAACAAATTATAAGAACAAAAAAGAAAACGGCCGGGAGAGGGGGGGGAAGAAAGAGCTTAACAGGAAACTAATTGTTTTCTAATGGTACAAAAATTTCACAATCACTATTAGCTATTAAATATGAAATCGGGTATGAAGGAAAGACAATCCCTAATCATTAGATTTCACATATGACATTCAATCATGATTGTGACCTTCTTGTACCAAAAAATATTTTTATTTGTCTACAGTCTCATGAAACAGCCTGATTGGTATAACGTTGCCATTAACAAAGTAAGAAAAAATAACTTGTAAAAAGAGAACAAATAAATACATTTCTAATAATGCTAGATTTCATAGAAATCAAGAGGAAATAACGGAGACAGAGAAGGAAAGAAGCTCAAGATGCATATAATGTTACGGACTCAATAGTTAGAAAAAGGCATGTCCCGAGAGTCCTACGAACAAAACATCATGCCAAAAGCATCATGAATTTTGGTGAGGAATTTGGAAGGGTGGTTTGACACAGGAAGCCAAGAAGGTTCAGGTGGTGGGGTCTCTGGTTTTTTCTTGGCCTTCCTTCTTAGTTGGAAGAACTCTTGCATCACCTCTGAGCATTCCGTAGCCAAAACTCCACGCCTAACTGTTATGTTGGGGTGGAAAGGATGGATAGGACCTGCCCTTTGGTTCAATTGATCCGACCCACTTTTCCCTTCTTCACCTGCACCAGAAGGAAAAAGGCTGCAAATTGCACAAATTTTAGAGTGAGAAAGAGCTAGAGCAACAATGCTGCAGAATAGATCATGAGAAAGAGAACAAGGAGGGAGAAAGGAAATGGGCGGCAAAACACATCTTAGAGAGAGAGAGAGCAAAATAGTCTTCATGCACGTTAACAAAGTTAAAACAAAGGGCACGCTTGGTATGCGTGAAAATACTAATGTGACAGTATTTTTACATGAAAGAATTACTCATGTGATTAGGTGTGGGAGTTTTTTCACACCAATTGGTTCTGACGCAATTTCTCACACCAAGTGCTGTGAAAAAACTCCCACATGTAATCACATGAGAGAGTTCTTTCATGCAAAAATACTTTCACGGAAGTATTTCAAGCATACCAAACTTGCCCTAAAAGAAACAGGTTATGAAATTCCTTAGCAAGGTATGGCACCTCCAGATATGAACTTGTTGATAATAATATCATATAATACATACCTGACCCAACTACCATCAGCTCCTAAGAGCCTGTTAGGAGCCCCCCATACCACAACATCAATCCTAGCTTGAAGAATGGCCCCCGCACACATGGGGCATGGCTCAAGTGTCACATAAAGGGTAGTATCCTAAAAACCACAAGCAAAATAGAGGTGAACGCATGGAATAACACAAGAATCACAAGTCAACAAAACACATTTATAAAGAGCGGTTCCATGTTTGTGGTGTTTCTGGGTCATAAGGCATTTCAGAAGTGATTCGAGTACTTTACAGAGATGGGATATTGTAAAAGTTTCAGAAAGAAGTTTGGGAATCATATGATATTGAAGAAAAGCCTGCAGAAAATTGCTCCACTTCGGATATCCACATAGTTTATCATCATTCATATTGAGCATACACACTGACAATTGTGCATGTGTGAGAGCATGCATGCATGTGAATGTATTGTGCGTGTGTAAATGTGCGCACAAACAAAATTGGGGTATTTTGGATCATTCAAATCTTAGGAAATATCTTGAATACATAGGAAAGAAAGGTATTTTGGAGTGTATTAAAAATGTCAGGGCGAGGGAAAAGAAATGTTGGAGAGACCGATATATGTGATGAGGAAATAGACTCAGTTAAAAAGTAAGAACAGGTCACGATATCTCTCTTGCAACGAGTCCCCTTCATATGCACATACATATATAGAGACAAACTAATGTGTATGTGACCAAAGACTGGTAATCACTCATGATGGTCAAGTGTAACTTCATTTGTGGCCTTGTGGTGTATCTATCCCACATAATTATAAGTTACAAACCAACCATACGATAAAGCTAGTAAAAATTGCATGAGACAGTACACTCTATTGGGGCATTTCCCTCCATGGGCACGACTGAATTTATGCCAACATCAAGTGGCAAAACATTCTAAATTTAAGAAAACATACATTTGTGGTTTCTAAGGGGAAATTTAGTATATTAGGTAAAACAGATATGTCCTAGTATTGCTCCAATTGTTCAATTAAATTGAAACATTATATCCTTGTTAAGGGCACCTTTGGTATGAAAGGAAAGACTAATGCCTACACAATCAGACTAAATGCTCTAACATGGAAATCTAACAATTTGGTGCATGAAACAGTTGTGAGAAAGGGCATGAAAAATTTACAGAACACAGAGACACAAAATATTCAATACTCTATTAATGAACAAAGGTACAGTAGAAACAATATACATCAACCAATATGGTGTAAAAAAAAATGTTTGTCAATCCACTATAATCCTATGATATCTTGTTTATGTCATATCGGGTTCTGATTAAAAAAATAAAAAAAACAAAAACAAAAAGAACACAAATCTATGATAGCTCATACCACCCCTGCCCCCGAATCCCTAAGTGGAGGAATCAGCAACTTTTTAGCATCCATGGGAACAGGACACTACTAGCAAATTGATCGTCTCAAAGATCTGCAGCAAACTCCTCCAAGGTGCTACTACCTTATGTCTCACAAATCTAAGGTCGCAAGCCTCAGTATCAATGTTTGACAAAATGGCTTAGGGACAGAACTTGGAAACTGGCAGAGCCAAGACAATCAGGCGAGTCTGAGTCCACTTGCCCGAGTTCGTCTTGAGTTGGTCAAGACCCCATAAAATAGGAAACATGGGGAAAATAAGCAAATAAAAAAATCATAGAAGTCATAAACAGTAGATACAAGATGGAAATGGAAAAACAAATTTAACTACATCAATTCTATAAACTTAGATTGTAAAAAAAAAATGAAATTTACCTAAAATTTTGAGGGCAGTCTTCCAACCTTTGCTCTAGAGATAAATCGATGCCTCCAATTTTTGTCAAAGCTTCCTTTGACACCCCAAATCAAAACCCCCAAACCAGATTTGGATTTGAGTTCTGACCTTGTTGATCCGAGCTCTTAAAAGTTTCAGGTGAAGAGTAAATCCGAAATAAAAACTCACAAATCCGAGATAAATTGTATTTCAGGTTAGAAACAAGTTTATGATTGGATGAAGAACCTAAAAAAGGGTACAAATTTCATAAAAAATCAACCGATGACAGCCAAGAAATCACAATTTTTCAAGTGAGCAAAAGCAGCAAACCTACATCAAAATCTTTGATATCTCAAATCTGTGGACTTTGATGGTTTTTGCACAAATGTGATCCATCCGTGGATATATCTACGGGCAAATTTTGAACATAAATGGTCAAATCTATGATCAAAGATGAAGAAATATTATATACTCCCTGAGTTGGGGGTTATTTTGGGCTCGGTACCCTAGCTCGAGTGACTCCAGAGAGTCTGAGACAGCTCTTCTTAGTCGGAGAACACTGTTCAGGATTTCATACACTCCCTATCATGTTGGCAGCAATCATTGAGAAATGTGAAGGTAAAGAAGTTGCCACATGCTTAGCTAGAGTTTATGCAGCCTAGGGCCCTGGGCATAAGGACAAACAGGAAGCTCAAAGCAAACTAGGAACTTTCTATTTTTCTGTACCGAAAGATTCTCTTTTATTACCAAACAAACAGAAAAGAACTCCATTTTAAGGTCAAAAGGATTGGCAAGAGTTGCTTAGAACTACAAAGAACTCAACAGTGTCTCTGTACATGCAGCAGGAAATTTGAACTCGGTGCCGAATTTGATCACTGCCAAGTCCAAGTCAACTGCCCAGTCAAACAGTTAACTTGGAAAAACTTACCGAGCTTCTCAAATTTTTGTCTAAGGAAACTTAGACATCTTCTAGTCTTTAAGCAAAACAAGTTGTAAATAATCAAACCCAACTCATCATCTAAGTCATACCCTAAGGATACCATATTGGAAGGTATCACGTATTAGTCAATTCATCATCATCATCATCATCTGACCTTTATCCCAACTATTTGGGGTCAGTTATATGCATCATGTTTTGCCATTCCGTTCTATCAAGGGCCATACCCTCAATTACAGCACAAGTCACTATATCTTTCCTCACTACTTCCTTCCATGTTCTGTGAGGCCTTCCCCTTGTCTTTTTAAAGCCTTCCATGTATTAGTCAATTGACTCAATTCAACATGGATAATTATTTAAAGGGAAAAACTCGGATACATCTGGAGTTTTTATTTATAAAACTTGCCCTCTTGACAAAATGAGGGCAAGTGGTACTACCACCACGACCTCAACCCCATTCCCAGGGACAACTAAAGGTCAACCATCAAATATTCATAAGAGCCATTACCTTCTCCTCAACCCCATCAACCACCAAACTATATCTACTCTTGTCTTCCGTTTCTAATCACCTTCTCAACCTCCGCACAAAAACATTCACCTCCACCGTTTCACAAGCCAAAAACTCATTTCTCTGAAGGTTCAAACTTCCCAAATCTTTCATGGATACCAAGAACTTTGAGTAAGGAGTAGTAGTGGGATAGAGTGAGAAACTTGGAAAATGCTGTCAGATGTGACAGAATGAAGAGACCAAGGATGTAGAAAATTGTAGGCTGAGTAATTCGGCAGATTGGGATTCCTATATATCTACTCATGCGGTACTTTAGACATTTGCTAATTGCTACCTCATCTTCAAAATTGTAGCCTTCCCATGGCATATGAGCTACTGATACATTTTTTCCCAAAGCAGGTTCCCCACCAACTGTAGCGCATGGGCAATACTTGACGACATAGTTAACACAAAATATGAAGATTCCAAAATCAATACTATAATAATTAAGCAATCGTTGTTTTCTAATATCTGTTTTGAGTCTCCAGTCTATGGCTATATAGGAAAAGTCTTTGATCCAGCAACCTGTCTCCAATGGGTTTCCAAACTGCAACCTGCTAAAAGAGGCTTCGAAACCCAATAATGAGACGCTAAACTACTGAAATTTCTAGTCTCTTAAATAGCTTTTCCCAGACTAACCCTAAACTACCATAGACCTCTCCCTAGTTGTCTTCCCTGACATCATCGAAATATTTAGTTCCAGGAATTTCGTTTGATTTTAGATAAGCACAAAATAATACACGTTTTGAACTAATGATTAGAATGTCTACAACAATAGCAGTGACTGACACTCTAAGATTATAAAATAAAATATTATAATATTTATTAAGAGCCACGAAATAATACAAAGTCACGAAGCAAGTTACGAAGAAGAACAAAGATCATTCTTGGACATCATGAAGTTAACAATGCAAAAACTCTCTTCCATTTCATATCTGAAAACCAGTTTCAGGTGACTGACTAGGTCACCCGCTGGGCTGATACAGATTGGCCGATTCTCCGGTCAAAGTACCCTAAAGAGATATTAAAGTGTAAAATCAGTGGGAGTCACGTGATCAACCAGGTTGTATAGACCCCGATCATCCACCCACCGAACCTGTTCGGGATCGGTTCACGCAAATAAATCAGAGATTTTTAAATCCTGGATAAAACTATAACACTTATCGATCAGATGCATGAGCATGTTATAGGTAGGCTATGTTATCAGGAGCCTGAACAAACAGGGAAAAAGAATGAATACCGCAAGGCGCCAACTTTTGAGCAGATTAGATGCCTCTCTGATGCAAATCATCTCAGCATGGGCAGTTGAATCTCGAGACTCTTCAACACTGCAAATGCATGAAAGAGTTGTAGTGAGTTAAAGCTAGAATATTAATATTTATTATTAATCAATAAAGATAAAAACTTAAGTCAGTAGTTATCGAATTCATTTTTATGAGGGGGTGAGAGGAAATATTATATGCATTATTTTGGCAGAAAAGGTAGAGAGCAGCAGTTAAGACAGCAAAAAGATTGATTTATACAGGAGGAGAATAGATGCATAAAAATACATTCAAGGGATATATGTCATCACCATCCAATGAAATGATCAGTGTCGTGGAGAGAGAGCAAGGCCCACCATTGGGGCATGGTGAGTCCCACGCTCTCTCCATCACCATCCATCATTTCATTTGATGGTGATGACCCAATAACTACCATTTCATAGTCCATTGCAATATATAGTGCAAGAAATTGGTTTCCACTATAAGTTGTAAGGTAGGTTCAAGATTGAATACTTACAGGTTGTAGCCTCGGGCAATTATTTTCCCATTTTGTACTAGTACAGCCCCAACAGGCACTTCCCAATTGTCTCCAGCCTTCTTGGCTTCCGATAAAGCTTCCCGCATGAAGAATTCATCAGCTTTTCTCTGCTCAGTTTCCAATTTGAAGGCTTCCTCCCACAACTCAAACCTTTCTTTCTGGACTTGCATGTTCCTTTTAAGCTTCCTGGCCCTCAGTTCTCCTTCTCTCTCCTCAATCTGAGCATCTTCAAGAAGTCTCGCCCTAGCACTTCCTCCATGCAATTCAGTTATTGAGCTACTAGCACCAGTCTTATCAAACACCACCACTGGTTTATTGGTTTCTACAGGTTTTGCTCCCTCAATGGTTGCTTCTATGAAACTCTGAGGTGATGGTGATACCATATTTTCACTGGTTTCTGAAGATTTTTCTCCTCCAGTTGTGGCTTCAACGAATCTCTGAGGCAATGGGGATTCATAAACAGATGAACTCGAAGAAACCACTTCCTCCAATGTACCCTTCTCATTTCTCATTGAACCATAGTCTTTTCCAGATGTGAAAGACGCCCGTCTTCGAATTGAACCTCTTTCCACATATCCTGTAGAAGTAGAGACCTTAATGTCCTCCTGCGCTACTCTCTCATGCAAATCCACTGCTCCAAAACCTTCTTGCCTCTGATTTAGAGGTTGGTCCACTGGTTTTTTTAGTGGCAATGGGTCTTCTTGCCTACTCATTTTCTCCCTTTTTTTGGAATTATCATCATCTGGTTCATGACCTGAAAACCAGGCCTCACTACCACCTGACTCAGTAGTTGAGCTCTTATTACCAGACTTTGGTGTTGAATGAGAAGGTTCAGTGTGCGTGGGACCCCAACCTTTTCGAATTATATCTGCAATATAAGACCACAGCGACTTGCTTGACCTCTTAACAATGGTATTTCCAGCTGGTAAAGGTGGCTTTCCTGTACCAGCTCCAGTTGTAGAGAGAGCAGATGGGCCTGAAACATCCCACATTTCATCAGACGGCCCCTTTGTCTCGAACCCTTCTATAGAAGGCCCAGAACTATGAGTTATAGTAGCGACAACCCTTGGATTATCCTCCACCAAATGGTCAGAGACAGTTTGATCGGAGAGAGAAAATGTCTGACTAGAAGCTCTTTCTATCTCAACCTCATAAGTTGATTTTCCTTTTTCATGATAATCATGTGAACCTGAGACTTCCTGCCTTTGCTTGTTTGAATTAGTACTCGAAAGGTGATGCTCAACTTGGGATTCTTCTGACCTCTTTTGAACCATACCTCCTGACTCAACTGTTAATTTTTGGCTCGTTTGCCCAGATTCTTCAACCCACTTCGAATTTGAGGTTAAATTTTCATCTTCTTTCTCTCTAATATGGATCGAGTATTTTGGTTTAGTGTCTGAAACATGAGACCCACCAACAAAGCCCTCAGCTTTGTCTCGAATCCTTTGTGAATCTACAACAAATTCTTGCTTTTCTTGTTCAGATTCTTGAACCCCAGTCATCTTTGAAGCGAATTGCTTTTCTTCTCTCCCTGTGATCTGCTTCAGCTGGTGGAACTTAGAGTCTGATTCATGATGCTTGATGATGTATCCTTCTGCTTTATTCTGAACCTTTTGTTGCGAATCTATCATGAGTTCTTGCTGTCTGTGATCAGATTCCTGGACCCAATCCAGCTTTGAGCCTAATTCGTCATTTTCTCGCCCCACAATGTCCACCCCAGAAAGCCTCTGAGACTCTTTTGAAACTCTTTTGATATCAGTTCCTCCAATCCTAGAAAATTCATCATATTGGTCAGCATCTGCTCTATCTCTCACCACATTCTCTGCAGAGTCTCTTACAATACCGACTTTTGAAGAAGCCGAACGCTTTGATAAATCTTCTTTACAAATCACATGATCCTCAAGATTTTCAAATTGATCCTTTACAGTTACATTTGTTCTCTCTCTCCTTATATCATCTTTATGGGCTCTATTATGCATCTCTATATAAGAACTACCCATAACGTCCTGCTGAAGGATCGCTTCCTCTCTCTCGGAGACCGTTCTCCCAGCTGTTAAATTCTTGCTATTACTAGCTGATGCTTCAGAACTGTAAGTATTGATTCTCTCTCTCCTCATCGCCTCATTATTACTCCTTGATGAATCTCTCAATTCAGAGAACCTGACATTTTCTGTTGGATTTATCATTGGTTTCCTTTGCAGATCGCATGATATTGAATAGTTATGGCTCTCTTCTATTCTCGTGGCTCTATGATTATTTACAGTCGATTTATTGGTTTCTTTTAACTCAAAATTGTAGTCTTTTTCAAAACCATGAGAAGAGGTAGTGGACATTTCATTCGATACCCTGTTAAAACCATATGAAGCCCCATAATCTCTCTCATCCACCTTCCTCTCAATTCTCCCTTTCTTATCGGTTTCAGAAGCAACATATGAAGAAGCATAATCTCTCTCATCTACCTTTGCTGAAAATCTCTCTCTCTTATCTCTTTCAGAAACACCAACTTCACGAATATCTGTTTTTTTTTTAGAAACATTAACTTCACAAATGTCTGTTATTTGAGATATCCTCGAATTTGATTGATTTTTTATTTCATCTTTCCCTGAAGTTCTCTCTCTCCAATCCGATTCAGAAACCGCATTTTCATGAACCTTTATTTTATGTGAACTTTCTCTCATTAATCCACTGCTCTCTTCCTTGTTACCTTGATATCTTTCTCTCTGAGCTGTTTCAGAAAAACCATCTCGGCGAATCTCCATCTTCTGTGAAGCTTTTGCCCCCAATTCCCTCTTCCTTTCCCCATTTCTCTCAACTTTCTCTCTCTTCTCTCTATCAGAAGCACAATTCTGCATTTCCTCAATTTCCCATGAAAACATTACTTGTGATTCAGCAAACCTTACTCCATTTTTGTTATTGGAGTTTCTTCCATGGCATCTACAGCAACAATCCCCTGTCTCGGTGCAATTTCCATTCTTTTCATCACCCATTAACAGGCCAAGCATTTCATTAACAAACTCTTCTCTCTCCATATCTTCCTCCCACACCATACATGGAAACTTTCTCTCTCTACATTTCCTAAGAGCTCTGCATGACCCATAACTCAACTCTCTCTCTCTAGCAAGCTTTCTCTCTCTAGGAAGCTTAGAATAAGCATTTGGGGCAATCCTACTTTTACACGTCGACCAATATATCAGTGTAGATTGCCTGAGGCCACTGGTTATTCTGGGGCAAAGACCAACCCCATAAAAGGGAAACGCAAAAGCATAGCATTCTGCTCTTCGATTCGAGAGAGAAAAATCGTTCAAAGAGAGAGACGCTCCATCTAAACCATAAGCACAGTGCTCTGTTCTTCCATTAGAGAGAGAAAAATGGTGAAAAGAGAGAGGCCCTCTATCCCTAACCCTCACGGTTGAGCTCAAGTAAGTGTACATGGTGTTCGTGTACTATATCGTTTCTGAGTTTCTTTCATAAGTGTGTATTTGTTCAGGAAAATATGTAGAGAGAGAGATTTGCTCTGGAAAACATGTAGAGAGAGAAAAGTTGCTCGGGAAAAGATGCAGAGAGGGAATCAACAGCTGAAATAGATAGTTCGAGACTTACTTGTCGTCTGACCTTTCGAACCTTTGCTGCGACCTGTAGCTTATGCACACATTGACAGTAGAGAGAGAAAGATCTTTCTCTCTCTAGATTCATGTATAGTGTACAGAAAGGGGAGATCTGAGGCCAAAAGCTCTTTGAAGCATGGAACAAAACTCAGACTGAGGGTGGAATCTCTCTCTCCTAAGAGGGACTGTGATGCTTTATCTTGGATATGGATGTCCGGGCGGGTCTTGGCCCGGACCGGGTATTGGTTTGAGTGCACGTTGGACCTTATCAAGTCAGGTCAGGTTGGGTGTGGGTCGAAGTCGAGCTGACTATATAAAAAAAAGAAAAATTTATCTAAGGAAGCAATCTTAAAATGTGGAATTACAAATGTATCTTAAAAATTCATCGGAAAAGGTTGTTTTGATGTTGAAAAACCTTTTAATTAATCATCTCGACATCCAAATGTATGAATATGAATAAAAGAAGATTTGAGTCCAAAAAATAGTGCATCTTGCAACACATTATCTAGACTGTCTATTTTTAAGATTTTCATATGTTTCTATATTTACCTGATTTTAAAGATTTTTTGAGTTTAATATTATATAATTAGAGATGAAAATAGCTTTTAAGAAAATCCTAAAAAAAATTTACACCAAAATTACATATTAAGATAAAATTTGAAGGTGCACCTTAATTGGATTGTTAAAGATTGCAACCTAATAGAAACCACACCCTGTAAAAATTTTAATAACATGAATGGTTATAATTATACATATAATATGAAATTAATAAATTTTTATTTTGAGCAACTCTGGATTTGACCAGGCGAGTTGAGCCTAGATCCAATTGCTTAGACCAAACCCAGAGGTCAAATCAAGCCTAAGTTCAACTAAGATTTACTTAGCCAGGTATGAGGCAATGCCAACCTAAACCCAACCCGTTCACACCCATATCTCTCAAGATAACTTTGATACTCTCTATGGGAAAATGGCTCAATCGTGGTGTAACACCTCATACCTAGTTATCATGTTGTGGTTTTCAAAATTTCAATCTCATAACCCACTAACATTTATAAAAAACTAACTCTTAATCTATTTCAAAAATTTCAAAAATGGATAGGAACCAATATGACTTAATTACTAAGAAAAAACTTTGATACTCTTTGTTTTGTAGATTATATTGCAAACACACGTATATGCATGTAGTGTGAATTGGGAAGCACCTATGCAAATAATAGTCATTTAGATATGACACGTTGGTACGTTTTTAAAATAAAAATAATATTTGATGTGATATTAAGTACTTTTAAGAAATTCGAATAAAAGATATTCAAGTTTTTTAAAAGTTGGAAGAGGATCGTGTCTTTAATGGGTTAAGATGCTCTAAAACGGTAGACATGACTACGATGTTACATAGAAATAAGAAGTCTTTCTCTCTCTCTCTCTTTTACAAAATTTGGCTAAGACAAAATTGCACAATTCAGCTGCCCGGTTTTAAGTTTAAATATGAAGCATAGGGGGGTTTGTGACTTTTATGTACAAAAGTTTAACTGGCTCATTGTCTACAAATTTTTTTAGAAAAAAAAAATTATAAAAAAGATCCATGATATATTTAACATTGAAAAAAAAAAAAAGGATCCATGATATATTTACCATTGAAAAAAAAGAAAAAGGATCCATGATGTCAACTTATCTATTTTTTATTTAATTTAAAAATCACTTAAAAAAAACACAATCACCAGTTCGAGAGAGAGAGGTTTTTGAACCAGAGAGAGAGTGACTTGGGTCTTACAGGAGTGGGAGACCAGGCCAATTGCCGGTCCTAAAATTGAGCCATGAAGAACTTTTGTTAAAGTTGTGGGCAATGTTATTATGAACCTTCAAACAATATGGGTACAATGTTAAATAGTTCACATCTTGATAAATTTCCCATAAAAAAGGTAGAACTATCCACAAAGCGATTCGAACTTTGAGCCATCTTGTTTAGGAGTTCTAAAATCTACAGCTCATTGTTAGTGATTTTGCGACATATTATCTAGTGAGCAAGCTTTCTATGTTTTTCCTACAACATAGAAGTTCTATCATCCCCCTATCCAACCGTCCATTATGAATGGAGGGATAAGATTGCCCCAACCACAATGTCATGTTTATACACTATTTTTTTTTTTTTATAAACTATTTTGACATCAAAATTTGGACGTCCATTTCTCTATTAAACTCACACTAGCGAAAAATATAAAAAAAATATTTCCTATAAAATAGAATGACCAAAATACCTTTGAAATTTTAAAGAGGTATTTTGGTCATTATATTTTATTTAAAAAATATTTTAAATATTTTTTATAGGTGCGCTCTAATGAGAAGATGGCATGTACCAAATTTCATATTCATACAATTTGTATAAAAAAAAACTAAAAATAAAATACTTTGAGACGTTGGATCTAAGATCAAACAGTGAGTAGCCCTCTTGATCAAAATTGGATCGCTGGATGGTAAAGGGAGAATAGAACTTCTATGCTGTAGGAGAAGGATGGAAACCTCTTTTATCTAGTAGGTTCAAAAGAGAATAAAATAAATCAAACCCTAAAAATGGTTTATTTCAGTATTTGCCTGCCCTATATGCATCATCTTTTGAGCTTCAAAACATATAGTGAAGCGCAAAAATAGATGCGAAGGCATCACGAGACTATAGCACTAGAACTAAGCTTTGAGATATGACTTACTTCGGTGTGAAAACTGCATTCTCAAACAACTATGTGTGTCTAATCTCCTCAAACACTGATTATATGCGTCAGGAGACATATAGAAAACTCGCCCAATTTCTCATTTATTTTCCCTTATTCAAAATGTAGAATTAATTTAAGGGAAATTTATTCTAATATCTTCCATTTTGTTTGAGAATTAAAAATCTGTTACCCCTATATTCTTATTTTTATTTGCAAAATGCCATTAGATCGGATTTTCAAAATCCAAACCAAAACTATCCACACGCTAGTTTGGAAATTGAAATACTGAACCACTATTTTATGAATATACCGATTAGGATTTTGAAAATCCAAACCAACTTTATTTGATTTCCAAACATTTTGATAAGATGCTCATCAAACAATTCTGAATCAGATTTTGAAAATTTTTTAATTGTTTGAGTTCGGATTTTGAAAGTTCGAACCAATGGTATTTTAAAAAGTAAAAAATTAAAAGAAGTAGAGACATGAGGGTGAATTACAATATACAGGGGATAAAAATTGAGAATATTAGTATGAATTTCCCTATTTGGAAAGAGGGCCACTTTTTTAGCCATATTAAATAGAAAACACTTGAATGGCGCCACTCCATTACGAATTCGAATAGGGCAACGGTTATGTATTGCAAAACCCTAAAGTGCAAAATCCTAATCTCTGGTTTGCAGAAACCTTAGTCAAAACATTACTCCACCGTTCCTCAGAAAAATTCAGGTACTCAGCGCTAGATTTCTATATACTCTAGTTTTCTACTACTTACCAGCCATTTTTTGAGGTGGGCTTCATTTGATCTCCATTTCTCATCAAAAGCTTGAAACGTTAGTTTATTGGGTTTTCATTGTGTTTTCATTTCATTACTTCTTCTCCATGTTCCATTTTTTAATGTTTTACCAGTGAATTTTCTCTAACATTGCGTTATTTGATCTCCATTTATTCTTGCAAGCTGAAGCTTGTAATTACTTAGGATTTACATTATTTTCCACTTCGTTTTTCTCTAAATCCCAGTATTTAATATTTTAGCAGTTATTTCACACGTTTCAACCGGATTTCATTTGGTATCCATTTCTTCTTTCAGGCTGCAACCATTTGCTAACTAGGTTCAACTGTTTTGTATTTTATAACAATTTCGTCTCCTTTAGTGTTTTTCGGTTAATCTTTTGACCAGACTGCAATTGATCTTGATTTCTTCTTGTAGGTTTATAACCATTGATTAGTTAGGGTTGCAACTGTTCTCCATATATCTTGCATGTTTTGTTGTCAGGCAAGTGTTGCACATCAGATTATTGCCATGAAGATGAAGCAGAAGAACAAGCTTAAAGGCATAGACCACTGTGAAAAGGTACTGGACTGTTTTTTATTTGAATTTGTTTTGCTCCCTCTCGCTCGCCCTCTATCTCATGAGAAGTAATTGTCCACAAAGAAATCAAAAGCAAGGGGCAAACTATTGATGTGTTCATGATTTTGGGTCATATTCTTTCAAATTATTAAAAACAATTATTATGTTACAATGGTAAAAATTTGGATCTTGTACTAGCTCAAGCTCCAAACTTCTGCACAAAAATAAGTTCCAAATTGTTGCCAATGTATAAAAAAGAAGAAAAATTGGAACTTGTAATGGGCGACTAGTCATTCCCCTTGTAGTGAAAAAAGGTTTCACCAAAACACATCATATAAGAATTAACTAGATTAAGTTTGTGAATATTTTTAGTTGTAAGGATGCTTAGTTACTAATGTTGTTTTGAATGGGGTTTGGCTCTTGGCAATGTTCAATAAGGCGGAGGCGGCCACCTAGGTGGTAGGGGGGCTGGGCCGCCCAGGCGCTAAGACGGCCGCCCAGACCCAAATAAACGTGTGATTTTTTTTTATTTTTTACATTTGGATCCCCTTAAAACTTAACACCTAAGCCTGAAAAATAGACAAAAAAAACAAGGTCAAAGTTGAAAAAATTAGAAATGGTTATCTAAAAAATTGCAATGATATCTAAAAAATTACAAATAGGAAGTGACATTGACCTTTTAATATATTGCCTTCTTATTAAGCCAACAAATAAATTTAGATAAAACATACACATCAAAATTGCAATGATATAACACAAAATCGAAAATGCATATTACACATGTAATTATTTAATAAGCTATAAGCATTAAGCTAATATTAAACTAACTAATAAAATAATTATGCTTTATGAATCATACATCAAGAAAACACATCATTGCACATACATAAGTAATTATTAAAGTAACTAATAAAATAATAATCCAAGATTTTAAATAGACAATAACATATCAAATATATATCACAAAGTATAAGAAGAAAAAATACGAATAGCAAAAAATAACATCATTAGACATTAAGAGAAGAAAATACAAAACCTAATGAAAACTATTGAAATATATCGACCTTCTTGAAGTGGACTCGATTCGGGCCAAACCAAAATGTTTGGGATCCCAAGTCTCCTCTTTTACAACCCCTATAAGCCTCAAAAAGATTGGGGTTGAATATCCTTTAATATCATGACCATTCGAGGTTTTCGAAAAAAATTTCAATCTCTCAAAAAATCTTCAAATCTTTCAAGTTATTCTCTCTCTAAAATTCACTAAATTTGTTTTTGGGGGCAAGAATATGACCTTCCGAACCTTTATCCTCCCTTTTAAGGGGGTAAAATGTCCTTTTTTGCCCCCACCCGAAAATTCTTTTCCGCCATAGCCCTGAGTGCCGCCTAGGCGGGTGCCTAGTTCCACCTTATTGATTGCCTAATCGGCCACCCGACCGCCTAGGCGGGCGCCTAATTAATCCCGCCTTAAGAACGCCTAGGCGTTTTTTTTAAAATAGTCGCCTAGGCAGCCGCCTAAGTGGTCGGGCGGCCGACTTTTTGAATTTGGCTCTTGGCTTTGTGATCATGGCATAATGGGTGTCAGAGGTTCAAATTTCTGCTAACCTGCAATAAAGAATATCTCTGCCTTAAATGGGTATTGGCTTGTGGTCATTTTTGCTCACTTATGTACTCCAAAAGGAAAGAAGAAACATTAAACTTTCATTTAAATCCCATGACAGGAGAAAAGACATTTTGCTGTATGTCTAATAGGAAGGGACCCTATGCTGTTATGCTGGATATGTTACACACATTGTTTTAGCAATTGACACAGGGTTAATCATATGAACTGATGCTATCTAAATTGCGTAACTTGTGTTCAAGTAAATTTGTTTTGTCTATTGGTTTAATTCCACTGTTTCGGTTTTCCTACTTGGTTGTGTCAATCCTTTCATCTAAAATTTTCCGAAGTTTAGTGGTCATATTTCATTTACAATATCACAGTTCATTTCCTTTTCCATTTATACCATTTATTCTAAGATTTTATTTCAATAATATAGTTTTTAAGGAGAAAGTGGAATCCTTGTCTGTTTAGCTATTTAAACTGACAAGCATATGCTTCATTGGTACATCAGCTTGTCTTGGAGGAAGTGATTGGCTTGACAACAAGAAATGCAAATGGTCTGGCTTCGAACATCTTAACGGGGGATTGCTTTTACTTGGCAGGTTGTGTTGTTGTGGTGTATAATGTTGAATCAGGTTCTCAAACCCACGTTATGGTAGCTTCTAGAATGCCAAAACCTTTGAGTTGTGTGGCGGTTTCTAAAGATGGAGCATACATTGCAGCTGGAGAGGTAATTATCTGACAGCTGACCAGCGTGTTTTTATTTCCTTCGCTCAAGATCAATTAAAAAGAAAGCAAAAGATCATTTTCAGTACTAAATTAAGTGATATAGATTAGAGCAGTTTAAAACGTTAAGAAACTTTGTGTATCAAACAACTATCTAATTAGAAATGTAATTGTGATAGAGTTGCAGCGACACTTGTGGATGAGGGGTCTCATAGTGCAAATAATGTAGCATTTACTGGTTGAGAATATCTTTGTTAGTGAAGTGAACATAATGTAATTCCAAATCTTCGTTGGCAGTCTCAGGTGGTACTATGCAATTTTTATGGATGAAATTGTTCCATGAGTGTAGATGATGGGTTGTCATATCTAGTTGATCTAAGCAGTAGAGAGGTTTCATTTCTACTTTAATCTTTTGAGGTTAGCTAGGTTCTCGTGTTGTTGGAATGGCATCCTCCCAAATGAATAAACATGTATTGTTTTATGTCCTTGTAACTGTTGCATGATTTTTCTCAATTATCACTTATTCGTGGTTTTTGAATGACTATAATGGCTGAGATGTTCCGTAGTCACAAATTCTTGATGGGATTGCAGAAAACATCTAATTGACATGTGTGCCATGTTGTTGCAGTCAGGGCATCAACCAGCTGTATTGGTTTGGGATTATTCTAAGAAAACTCTTATTTCTGAGCTGAACGCCCATCGTTATGGGGTTGCATGTATCAATTTTTGCCCAGATGGTTAGTTAAGATTGGTGGATCAAGTTTTTTTATTTGCATTATATATATATTCACTTCTTTTCTTTTTATTTAGCTATTTTCAACCTTAAGTATATTACCAGTTTTCTTGTTCTCTCTATTGCAGAGAAGCATCTGTTGTCTGCTGGGTTTCCTTATGATGGATATATTTGTCTTTGGAATTGGAGGAGTGGAGTGTTAATTACAAAGCATATGGCAAGCACATCTTATTCTCCCATTACTTCAGTTTGTTTCTCATCAAATGGCAGCTTTTTCCTAACAGCTGGGAACAAGCACTTGAAGCACTGGACTATGGAGTCATCTGCAAGGCATTGTTCAACTGCAGGGATTGGAACGCTAGCTATTGATGGAAGACCTGCCAATATTGTCACTCTAATAGGAAACTCTTTTGCTTCACTAGAGTTTGTGCCTTTGACCAAGGCTAGTTGTCTTGGTAATGACCAGGATGTTGATGTTTTTCCTATTTATGCCTTAACAGAAGCAGGTGATTTATTTTCGATTTGAGATTAAGCTCTTAGTTACTTCATATATGAAATGTAGCTGGTGATGGACATATGAACTGGAATGCTTTTTCTATTTTTGTGCACCTTCAGGTGTTTTATGCCTTTTGGACTCAGGCTTTTCAGTTAGAAAATGGGTGGATTTAAAGGTAGTTGTGCATTTTGGCTATGTCATATTCTTTATTGGAGAGTATGCTATAATTGAATGGTCCAACCATATTCCAGTGGGTAACACCGCCCCTTGAAGTGATGGATGGTGACAAAGAGTTGGTGGATTTCATATTCCATTTAACCTTTAGGCCCATGGATTATAGTGTACTTTTCATTGTCTTATCAGTATGATTAGTTTCAAATTTTGTTGCAGGTTGAGAAAGGATATGCATTGTCAGTGTCAGAGAGGTTTATTGCGTGTGCGTGTAGCATGGGTATTGTACATCTCGTCATGGTTGATACTCTAGAATATGTGGGAATCTTGCCATATGATGCAACAAATGGGGATCTTGTGATGGTGGATGAGACTATGTGTTCAAAGCTTGACGAGACTGATTGTACAAATACTCCTTTTCCTGATGCAATAGCTTGTCGATTTTCATCCTTCCATAAACTTGGTGAGCAAACTTTATATTGTGAGTAAACATCGCTGCACTAAAGTCTTTCCTCTCTAGATCCTAAACTATCATTTCTTTCCAGTGGTTGTCTATGGAGATCACAGTCTTTATGTATGGGATGTTGAAGCTGTACCTAAGGTGCTTCTTTGACACTCTTTAACTGTGCTTTTAATGTAATTGCCAGGGACATTTATTTACTAGTGATGTGTGTTTATTATTCGTCTTACCTCTTTTTTGAGAGTTGTGTACAATTCAATTGTGGTCAGGGAGTTTGTATTTGAAAATGGGGCCCAAACATTTTGTTGTCTTTTTTCACTCTTTTTTGTTTTTTCATGTATGCGTATCATACGTTTCCAATTCTTCAATATGCATGGCTATCATGTATCAAAAACATGTTTTAGATTTTAATGGTGTACAAGACGTATCCTGTTATTAGTGTTTCTTATATTTTTCCTTTATTTTCTTTTTTTTTTTCATGAAAAAAGGTAAGAGTAAATTGAAAGTCATTGATTTTGACTAAGACTCATTGAGCTGAGCAATTTTCCAGATTCTGACATTCAACTTGACTTCGACTTTCTGGACCTTTCTCATACCTAAATGATTAAATGATAGTATGACTCTACATGAGGAGAATAAATGGTTACGATACTCATTCATATGAAATCAGGTTAAATCATTCATATGAAATCGGGTTTTATATACAATTATAAAATGGTTACAATTTCCAGGTTAGTAGGTGTTGTGCACTTTTCCCTCACAGTGGGTGCATATGGGATATCAAGAATCTTCCCTGTGGAGACATTCACAACCGAGCCCTCTCATTTACTGGAAAGAACTTCTGTAGTGAACTTTGCTTTGCAACTTGTTCAGCTGATGGAAGTATTAGGCTGTGGGACCTTGGTTTACAATCCGACATAGAGAAGTCTGTTGCCTCAGAATCTTTGATGGAATCCAAAACTTGTAGCCCTATGAATGCTGAGTTATTGGGCGTTATATATTCAGGCAAGTGTTGCATTATAAAAGCATCCAATGATTTTCCGTTTATGGGATGATTATGTGTGCGTGTCTTATCCATGGTGTCTTTTACCATTCCATAAAATATCTATCTTGGTTTGGTGCTTTCTTGCCATATGTTGTTGGTTTCAAGCAATGTCGTCAGGACCAGAATAATGGTAGCACTGGTGAGGGCACTAGTTTGGTTGGACCGGTTGAACCTGACTGGTTCATAGGTTAAACCGGTCAAATAAAAAAGGAAAAAAGAAATTATACAATATTATAAAAAATTAAAGAAAAAATATGGAAAAAACTAGAAAAACACAAATTTCAGAAAATTATTAAGATCACAATTAAAATTATGGCACACCGTATGTCCATACTCATGATGCACTCCAATAACTCATCAATCCTTTATTTGGAAACTGGTCAGGATTTACAATGGAAAATCAATTTTTCATATAAAAATAAAAAACAACTAAAATACCCAAAATCCCTAATATGGAACAATTTTCACCCATCAACATTCTCCATAGTTCTAAGGGTTAAAGAACAAAAAATAAAATAAGGAAGTAAATTAAACCCAAAAAATGAAAAAAAAACCCTAATATTTATATTTAAAAATATGCACACGAACAACCAAATAAGCAAAAACCTACAACACCAAACTATTAAAGCAAAGACGATCACTAAATTGAATACAAGAAACAACCTATTGCTTGGTTTGAAAATAAATCATTTTTGGGTTTGGCAAAAGCCTTAAAAATCCATTTTTGTATTAAGAAAAATACAAACAAATCATAAAAAAATGGGTGTTACCCTTGGTGTGAAATAGGGCAAATTGATGGCCGGAATTCACTCCAAAATTTGCCTCATTTTACCAAGCATTTGTGGGTTTTTAGATAGAGATAGTTAAAGTAGTACCCTCCCTCCCTCTCTCTAAAGGGTATGGTTTCTATACGGTTGCAACTTTAAACAATCCAATTAAGGCGCACCTCCATATTTCATCATAATATATAATTTTGGTGTAAACTTTTTTTACAATTATTTGAAAATCGATTTGTATCCCTAATTATAAAATTTTAAACTCTAAAAATAGTTAAAATCAAGTAGATCTATAAACCTATGGAAATCTTGAAAATGGATGGTCTAGATAATGTGTTACAAGATGCACTATTTCTACGACTCAAAATCTTTTTATATTAGATCTCGAAATGATTAATTAGAGGGTAACATTAAAACAACCTTTTCCGATGGATTTTTGAGGTGCGACTATAATTCTACATTTTAAGATTGCAACCTTATATAAACTTTTTCCCTCTCTAAAAGCCAACTTTTTATTTTTATTGTTATAGAGAGATTAAAAACCAACTTTTTAAATCCCAAAACACTCCCAAATAATAAAAAAAGATCAAAACACCCCTGAAGTATCTCAAAAAGACAAACAAAGATCAACCTAAAAATGATCAAATTGAACAAAAAACAAAAAATGAGGTTATATTTGGTCTTTTTGGACCTATACCAAGACCGATCGATTTGATCAGGACTGGTCAAACCAGGGTGGTCTAGACATTGAACTGGTTTGTTCACCTATATGGTGTCAGTTTAATGAATATTCCGGTTCAGAAGGCTTGAACTAATCGGAATGGCTACCCATTTTTGCGGATCCTGGTCCGGAGCCTCTGGCGCATTCATCTTTAATAAATGTGGTTCCAACTCATGCTTACCAATTTTAAATATCATTTTAAAGTACATGATTTTGTGAGGCATAAAAATGTGGAACTTGGAGATGAACAATTAGATGATTCCAAATTACTCAATTACTTTCTTCATTAACCAGAGTGTGATCTTGGTAGATGGACAAATAGATATTTATCTGCTATTTGGCATCAGGATTTAATCTGCAATAGGGGGTGTGACACCATGCTTCCGATTGGTGCGTAATCATTTGTCCTGTCAGACTGGCATCTTCTTTATCAACTTGAGTGGTTTAGGAAGTCCATCTTTCCCTCTCCATATGGTGGAGAAATACACAAACACACACACACACCATATCACATTAGATCATTATATGCATAGTATTAGTATTTATAACACTTCCTTTTAAAGCCAAAAAATATACACTGTTACAGTGTCACATGGTGCCTCTTACCTTGCACATTTAAATCATTATATGCATATTATTACTATTTATAACACTTCATTTTAAAGTAAAAAATTACACAATGTTACAGTGTGACATGGTGCCACTTGAGGTAAGAGAATATCTCACAATCAACCCCTCTATTGGCTAGGTTACTTGTTAGCTTCCCCCGGTAATGATGTTGCTAAATACATTAAATCATATAGTTATGTCTCCAAGGACATGGAGACTCATTCCTAAGCAATTAAACTACATCAAGTAACAGGCTAGGGAGGCAGCAATTGAGTTTTAGCTTAAAAACTTGTGATTTGTTTGTTTCCTGTCCTTATTCTACTTGTTCTTTTATTCGTGAGCAGAATTTTTGTGAAATTTTACGTGTCTTTGCTACATCGGATGTGCCTCCCTTAATCAAGGAGTTAGTAAATTTCTTAGACTGATTCTTGGTTATCTTTGACTTTTTTTTGTTGTTTATGAAAAGAAACTTATTTTAGATTTTTGCTTCAGTTAACAATGGAGGGATTGAGCAAAGCATGCAAGATATTGAAGGTTCTGCTCAAGGTTTTCGTTCAATGGCAATCAGTTCAGATGGAGAGTATCTTGCTGCTGGTGATAGTCATGGAAATCTCTATGTCTATAATTTACGTACATGTGATCAAACAAGTTTTCAGGTATGGATGGTCTTAACTGTGATCTCTTGTATTTGATTCCAGGAAACTCCTTTCAAAGTCAATTGGTGGCTGCACTGGCATTAGAAAGTGGGGTTTAGGTTCAGACTTCAGATATTAACATCTGCTACCTATCTACCATTTGAGGTGTTTTAGTTGTGATCTTGTTCTAGCTAGAACCACAATAAATAGACACAAGTTTCTCTTATGTTTAGAAAGGGTTGTTTGGTGGCTTCGAAGAACATATATTGTTCTTTACTTAGTTAAAAATATCTTGATCATATTAAAAGGTTTAACATGCTTTTATATGCAGGCTTGGTTGTGTAAAAAAAATATCTTGGACAGCATGGCCATTTTCAAGAGATTATCTTCTCTTTAAGTTACTTTTGTTAATTGATCTAAAGCTGGAGCTGTAGTTTGTGCTATAATGTTTGTTTTGAGTCAGAATACATATTTCTTAATTGACTAGGGGGTATTCAACCTTTGTTTTTGTTTTTTCACTCGATGGTCCTTTATTTTACGGGGTTTGTGCAACTGGGAAATTGGGGTTCAGGCTAAGTAGCTCTCTGACCATCTCATGTTTTTGTAACCTTTATTTAATCTCAATCCCATCCAATATTTGGTTTCTCTGGCAGGAAGCTCATGACGCAGAAATCCTTTCATTGAGTTTCAGCTCTCCTTCTGAGACCTACTGTCAAAGTCATCACTTACTGGCATCAGGAGGAAGGGATAGAATGATTCATATTTATGATGTAAAGAAGTGAGTAAATTTTTTTTCCTTACAGATATGGTTTCTTGTCATCCTGCAGTATGTCTTCTCACTAAATTTCCCTCAGAGGTTTCGATCTGGTGGAAACTCTTGAAGACCATTCAGCTTCTGTAACTTGTGTAAAGTTTGCTTGTAATGGAAGTAAGCTAATCAGTTCCAGTGCTGACAGGTATACTTATGCCTTTTCCTCTTTAAAATGGGCAAACATTTAAGAAGTAGAAAGGCATTATAGTTCGTCTAATTTTGGAGATCATTATTTGAAATGCTTATTTTATGAATCCTCAAATTTCAACAGGTCTCTTCTCTTTCGAGATGTACTCATGAAAGATGGTGGATGCAAGATTACCCGTCGCCATCATCAAATTGCATCACATGGTACTGTCTATGACTTGGCTATTGATCCTGGAACAGGCGTTGCTGTTACAGTTGGGCAGGTTAGTTTCTGTCATAGGGCAAAGCATCTTGGAATGGGTAAAGCATGCTATAATGCTATGGGCCATGGCAAACAGCATTCATGGGGTTCATCATTGTTCAATTAAATGGACAGTGATGGTGAGAGTTGAACCCACCATTGGTGTAATGTCCACTTCTGCTAGGTCCCACACTCTCTCCATCACCATTCACTATTTACATTCATGACCTTATTGGATTATACTATTCCATAGTCCATTGGATTATGATATACATCCACTTTGGACTATATATACACTATTTTGTGCTTCTGATTAGCTTTACTGTCCCTAGGATAAAAGAATTAATACATTCAGCCTATCTTCTGGGAAGCTTGTTAGAATGCTTAGGCAAGATGGAGAATTCGGAGAACCTATAAAGGTATATTACTTCATTAAATGTGTCTTCACCATTGATACCATGTATATTGTGATTTTCATCTCGGTCCTCGACATTTTATGTACAGGTGTCTTTAGATCCAAGTGGGAACTTCCTGGTTTGCTCCTACTCTAACAAATCAATGCGAATTTATGATTTTACAACTGGAGACATAGTTGCTCAAGCACTAGGTCATGCTGAAGTGATAACAGGAGCTATTTTTTTGCCCGACTGTAGGCACATTATATCTGTAAGTTTTTGTCCAGGTTGATTTGCAAGGAGAAGTGTGCTTCGTGCATCTTTAGATTTTTTATTTATTAGCATCTTTACATATTTGTTGGTATTATCCTGTAGTCACTGTCTTGCTATACATTTACAGAAGATTTGGTACTGGTTATACAAGTTAGGCTCAACCTCGACCTGGTCTGACAATGCTAAAAAGTCAATATTGGGCACAGGTTGATATCTTTTGCGAAAATTGTAAATACAAAAGAATCAATCTTTGAGTTGGTTCAATAGTTATTTGTTAAGCTGAACGGCATCTGGCATTTCCAAAGACAAAAATTGCAAGCAATAATGCTATTCTTTAAGAAAGAAAAATATCAGGAAAGGTGGCTTGGCCAAGCAGTGTCTTTAAAGGATTTAATGACTTTATGAAATGGTAGTGAGACCAAATTAGGGGGGTTAACTGGGAGCTGCATATATTAGAGATGGATTTTTGTGACTCCCAGCAGAGGAAGAAATTCTGATTAAGGAAGAATTTACCATAACATAGCTAAGTTGGCTAAAAGTTGCTTTTTAGTTTATTGATTATAGACTATGGATAGTTGGAGCTTGTCGATAACTTGAACATTTTTTTTATTCTGTTGGTGTTTCTGTTCAGCGAGCCACATGAGTTTAGTCGTGGATGGATGAGATTATATATGTTTTATCATATGATTCATGAGTAGGTTTTTACTTATAAATATAGAATTATGAGTAATTTTTCATGGAACTCTCTTTTGTAGTGGATCCATAACATGTGTAGACACTAGACGGTAATTAAAACTATAGAATCATGTCTAGCTTATCATTAACTTTCTGTATTCATGTTCCTTTTCTTATTTTGTTGTTCCTAGTTTTATATTGTCATTTTTTCCCTACTTTTTCAGGTAGGAGGGGACAGTTGCATTTTCATATGGAAGCTCCCCACTATGATGACACAGAGGATGTTGCAGAAAACTATGGGAAGTTTCAAATCACACTTCTCAAAGGTTTCAAATGAAGTCTTTTCACATAATGAAACTAGCTCCAAAGCCGATGTCAATCCTGAGGATATCTCCAGACAATGTCCATCAATACCCCAAGTTCGTGAACCTTTGCTTCTTGAAGTTCCCCCTAGAGATGCCAATGGATTCAGATTCAGTATATCAAGGCTTCCAAGATGGGCACAAACCAAAGTAACAAATACAAACGGTCACTTCAAGAATCCCGGATCAAGTGAAACTAAGGTAAAATGGAGGAAAATCTATGAACTAATTTTCTTGAAACCTCTCTCTCGCCCCCATATCCTGATATTTCTATAGTTTTATGAGTCGTTTCCTTTCTACTTGTAAACAGCTACCAGAAATTTGCCACCGTTCTCCAACTGTTAGTAATGTGGAGGCCTCTTCTGCCACTGGGTTGGCCGAGTTCTTCACTCCACACCAGTTCAGCTCAGAAGTGAGGAAATTCTCCCTTGGCAACACACCTAATGTCCTCCTTGCTCCAAATGTAAGCAAGTTTTCTCATTTGCGTCGAGATACATTAAGGTAAACTCTTCTGCTGATATTGTTTTTTGGGTAGTTTCTTCTTCTGATAATTTCTGGTTGTTTAACTCTAATCAAAATAAATGTTCTTTCTGGGCATTGATTCTGATCAAAATAAAGTATTTTAATTAATCCTGGTTATATAATCTTGTTTGCTACATATTCAGTAACTTTGAGATGGGGAGGCAATGGCGAACCATCCATACTGTCTTCCTCAATGCAATGGAATCCCCACAAAGGGAAGAAGAGAAAGCTGAGAAGGTGACATTTCCTGTAATAAGTTACAGTAAGTCCAAATCTCGGTTATTGAGAACATTTCTTTTTCATGGTGATGAAAAATGCCCATTACTGGATTAATGGGAGGGAAATGCAAATCACTGAATCATCCACATAATAATAATCATAAAACGATAATCATTTAGATCCTTTCTCTTATTGATATGAGATGATTAACTTTCTTTTCATGGTGTTACTTATATCATGTAGATGCCCTCTTTCTGGTTTATTTGTTGATCAACTTCATGACTTTTCTAAAATTGTGAGGAAAGCCAAGCTCTGAAATCTCTCTCTCTCTACTTCTGTGACTGTTGTGAACCTGTGCTGAGGCTGAGCTCTCCCACCAAGACTCTCTCTTCCTCTCTCTAGTCTTATGTCATTTTAATCCTCTTTTTCTTTTTATTTTGATTGGCTTCTTTTGAATGCTGTGAACTTGTGAGGAAGGCCAAGCTCACTATGGACAAGGAAATGGAGACCTCATCGGCAATGGATTACGTGATGAGTCGTCATCTTGTGGCTTCAATGAATCAGAGAGACTTACACTAGCTGGATTTTCACCTCAGAAGGAAGATGATGCATCCAATCACACATCATCGACATGCCTTGAAGCAAAATCTAGTGAACCTTTAACTGATGAGCATCAGTCAGAGGCTGGAAATACAGATCGAAATTTCACTGATGATGAAGAAAGCTGTGATGAATCACGTGCCGATGATCTATTCAACACTCACTTCAGCAAATTATCAACAACACTGAAGGTTATAGTCCTCTCTGTCTCTCTTACACAGACTTGATATCAACCTCTGTTGCTGCAATTTGATTGTATTTTTTATTTTGCCTCTGAGAATCATACCTTTGGGGCTAACTTTAATGAATAATACTTCGTTTTGTTATGTGATATTTAGACTGAAGGGAGGTCATCAATGAGGAGCAGCTTGTCTGCGCAGTATGTTGTGCGCCGTGAAAGATTTACAGGACGCAAGAACTTGTTTGAATCAATGGCAGATGATTTGGGTTCTGCAGCCATGGACAGTTTTGATGAGGCCGTGGATGACAACACCATGCGTGCGTTATCTGTAGATATGGAATCCTTTGAGAAAGGGATTAAGGTAAAACATTTCTCTGAACGTTCTTTACAGGCATCAATGCTGTTTAGTGTGATAAGAATTAACCAATTTTTGTTGTTGTTGGGGCGTGTGTGTGTGTGTGAGAGAGAGAGAGAGAGGTGTATTTGACGCTGTTCTTTTTTGAAAGGGTAGTGACTTCATCTCAAGAGCTTTTCTCTTGCCTCTAGTCGCAGGACGAAGCTCTTGGAAAGGACTTAGGAAGGCTCTCCGATACATTGCCATTTTTCCCGGATTCAAACCTCTCTCTTGAACCCGAAAGAAAGGAAGAATCACATAAATCAGATGGACAGGGTCAACTTGCTCAAAAGGAAAATGAAAACCAAGGACCAAATACTGAACAAAGTTTCCAGTGAGGGAAATGATTTGCCGAAGAAAATCACAGAATGGCGAGCTGCACTAACTCATTTATACTTTGCTAGTCAAAGAGCAGTTATTCTATTTGAAAGATTGAGAGATGAAGACTTGGTAAGTGAATCAGCAGATTTATCGGATACCGCCTCTGATTATGTACCTGTGATATTAGCGAATGTCCAAAGGCTAAGTGATTTAACCTCTGGTTCTCGTTCGAGCACAGCAATCCATGGTAATTTGGAGTCTCTCATTGAGAGATTTGCAGACAGTCTTTCAAGTAGGGTGCTTGAGTTGGTTGGGAAGACTCTGCCTCCTTGAGAGAGAGAGAGAGAAAGAGAGAGAGAGAGAGAGATTGATAACTGTAAACAGAAAGTCACAATCATGTGTACATATAACAAATGCTTTGAATATCCCAAGCTATATGTGAAATTCTAACACCATCATTCCATTGGTGGACATATGAAAAATACAAGTAAATATTCTCCTTAGTATCCATTACATATATTGCCAAGCTCTTGCTACGCTAACATGAACTGAGTATACTTGCTAAAGCAAACACCTTTACTGCATTTGTACACTTTCTACAACAAAAACTTCGGTAACACGGTTTTTATTGTTCACAGAGAGAGAGAGAGAGAGAGAGAGAGAGAGAGAGAGAGAGAGAGAGAGAGAGAGAGAGAGAGAGAGAGAG